TTAGAGTCGTTTGAAAATTGCGAAGGATGCTTATTAGACAAGATGATAAAACAGCCATTCTCCAAGTTATGAGAAAGGGCAAGTGACTTATTAGGTCTAATACACACGGATGTATGTGGACCAATGAGCACACCCGCAAGACAAGGTTACCGATATTTCATCACTTTCACCGACAATTATAGTAGATATGGCTATGTCTACTTAATGTCGAATAAATCTGAATCCTTTGAGAAATTCAAAGAATTTCAATAAGAAGTTGAAAATCAACTTGGCAAGAAAATTAAAGCACTTCGATCTGATCGAGGTGGCGAATATTTGAGCCATGAATTCGACGATCACTTGAAAAAAAATGGCATTCTTTCAGAGTTGACACCTCCCGAAACTCCTCAATGGAACGGAGTGTCCGAACGGAGGAATCGGACCTTGTTAGACATGGTTCGATCAATGATGGGTCTTAATGAACTCCCTATCTCTTTCTGGGGACATGCGCTACAACTGCAGCACTAACACTAAATAGAGCTCCGTCAAAAGCTGTTGAAAAGACTCCATATGAATTATAGACTAAGAAACCTCCTAGGTTGTCTTTTCTCAAGATTTGGGGTGCGAAGCATATGTCAAGCGATTAATTTCGGACAAACTTCACCCCAAATCAGATAAGTGTTTCTTTGTGGGATATCCAAAAGAAACCAAAGGGTATTACTTCTACAATAAATCCGAGAACAAAGTATTTGTTGCTCGTGATGGTGTCTTTTTGGAGAAGGATCACCTTTCCAAAATGACAAGTGGGAGGAAAATCGAACTCGACGAAGTTCGAGAGGACAAGCAACAATGTCAACCTGACAAAACTGACAATCTAGATACTTTGGAAGCATCTAAGAAGATTGGTCAGAATCAAACAGACAATGTAAATGCTCAATCGATTACCCTTCGTAGGTCGCAACGGCAAAGATCTCAACCAGACAAATACCTCGGTATCGTCTTAACCGATGATCAGGACATCCTAGTCATGGATGGTGATGAGCCGGCGACATACAAGCAAGCTATGACGAGCCCCGACTCTGCAAAATGGCAAGAGGCCATGAAATCCGAGATGGACTCCATGTCTGAAAATCAAGTCTGGGACTTGGTGAATTTGCCCGAGGGTTATACACCCATTGGTTGCAAATGGATCTTCAAAGTGAAGACAGACAAGGATGGAAATGTATCAATATACAAAGCTAGACTGGTGGCAAAAGGTTATAGACAAGTTCACGGGATTGACTATGATGAAACTTTTTCACCAGTTCCAATGCTAAAATCCGTCAGGATCATCCTAGCGATTGCTGCATATTACGATTATGAAATATGGCAAATGGATGTCAAAACAGCCTTCCTTAATGAAATTTTGGAAGAAACTATGTATATGACACAGCCAGAAGGTTTTGTCGATCCAGGCAACGCTGGAAAGGTTTGCAAGCTGAAGAAGTCCATTTATGGACTAATGCAAGCCAGCAGAAGTTGGAATCTGCGATTTGATGAAGCCATTAGCAAGTTTGGTTTTATCAAGAATCCAGATGAATCTTGTGTATACAAGAACGTCAGTGGGAGTGATATTGCATTCCTAGTCCTGTATGTCGATGACATACTTCTCATTGGAAACAACACAAAATTGTTGGAGTCCGTAAAGGGCTGGTTGGGCAAGTGCTTTTCAATGAAGGACTTAGGAGAGGCACAGTACATATTGGGCATCAAGATCTACAGGGATAGATCTAATAGGATGATTGGATTAAGCCAGAGTACTTACATTGATAAGGTACTGGCTCGATTCCACATGAAGAATGCCAAAAGAGGGCATTTACCCATGTCCCATGGCGTAACTCTCAGCAAGAAACAGTGTCCACAGACACCTGTAGAGCGAGAAAGAATGAATCAGATCCCATATGCTTCGCTAATCGGATCGATCATGTATGCCATGATATGTACAAGGCCAGATGTATCGTATGCCTTGAGTGCAACGATTTGATACCAATCGGATCTAGGAGAGGCGCATTGGAATGCGGCCAAGAACATCCTTAAGTACCTGAAAAGGAACAAGGATAAATTCCTAGTGTATAGAGGCCACAACAAACTGGTTGTTGAAGGTTACACCGACGCTATCTTCCAGACTGACAGAGACGACTTCAAGTCACAGTCGGGGTACATATTCTGTCTGAATAGAGGAGCATTTAGCTGGAAGAGTGCCAAGCAGAGCACCACTGCAGACTCTACAAATGAAGCCGAGTACTTGGCCGCTTCAGAAGCTGCCAAGGAAGCTGTTTGGATTCGCAAGTTCATTAGCGAACTTGGTGTTGTACCCTCAATCAAGGGGCCGATAGACCCCTATTGTGATAACAATGGAGCTATCGCTCAGGCTAGGGAGCCGAGAGAGCACTAGAAGGTCAAACACGTGCAAAGGCGATTTCACATGATAAAGGAATGGAAATCCGAAGGTGAAATCAGAATTTGTAAGATTGGCACGGATGATAATGTAGCTGATCCTCTGACTAAACCACTGCCTCAAGTGAAACACAACAAGCACATTGAGGCGATGGGAATTAAGCATGTTGGAGACTGGCTTTGAAATTCCCTGTACATGTGTTTTAATTAAATAGGATATTTAATGTAAGACACTATATTAAAACCATTCATTAATGGAGTAATTAATTTTTGTGCAAAATTATCATTCACTCCATTACTATTTAATTGTGGTTTAGAATTAAATAATGAGTCCATTCGATTTACGGAAATATTCAAAACAGGGTATCAAGACCATGTCTTGGATAACGAAACACCTGTTAAGTGAACATTGAATATTTAAATAAAAAATTATCCCTAATCGAGGTCATATAACAGATGGACGATTGATGGCCGCCATAGATTAGTGTGTAGTATGATTTACAACACCGTTTCTTGTGCTACGAGGACGTGACCTATGAGAGTACTTTAAGAAAATTTAAATTTGTCATAAGTACATTTCTCATTATGACTATCGAAACTTGTTTCCACCGACCATGAGTACTGTGAAGTTTTCTTGTTTGAGTACTAGACTCTTTGATGTTTCCAAACGTCTGCCGTAACTGGGGATCATAACGGGAACACTTAGGAGACTATGTCCTCTTAGTAAGAAGAACTTACAATACAAGACTGGGATTGCCCCTACTAACAATAGGGAAAAATGTTTTGTTGTTTACAAGGCCGCTCGAAGAGCGAGACTGTGAAAATGCATGGCCGTGCTCAGATGGATTTTAGAAATCATCTTCTTATTGACAGTCGAACTCAGAGTCGAGAAACACTTCTGAACGTAATAAGGATGACAAAGAATCTTACCTTATAGTTCACGAAGAAACATTAAGTGACATAGGAAATGAGCTGTACACTATATGCACACTTGTCCGGAAGGACAAGTGGGAGATTGAAAGGAATGGTGTCCTTCCAACAAGCGTATTCTTCCGATAGAGGGTTCAGAATTATTACGGAGCTAATTCTTCAGCAAGGTCAAGTGATCGGAATGCCTAGGCGGAGGCCGCTTCCGATCAGTAATATCAATTGATGTTACAGCTTAATCTTAACTAAACCCTTCAGGTCGAACCCAATCGAATCACCGATCCGAGACGACGAATTAATCCGAAAGGATTTAATGAATCAGCAGAGTTTTACGAATACACACGTCGAAAATCGAGCCTAGCGCGTTGAGACCGAGCGTTGCAAAATCACAAAGCGACAAGTATGAACATAGCCCTGCACCACACTGGCCTAGCCATGTGGATGCTATGCTATTTCAGGCTAGCATGCACCTAGCATGGCTAGGCGCAAGCCCAAGCGCACTAGGTGTGCTAGGCAACCCATCGCAAGTGCTATGCGCATCATAGCACACCATCGCAACCCATCGCAAGTGCTATGCGCACCATAGCACACCATCGCAAGCCAATGAGCATCATTAGGCGCACCATGCGTGCCCTAGGATGGCTGGGCACCATCGCAGCCCAGGCAGCATCTCTAGGCGCACCATGCGTGCCCTAGGGTGGCCTGGTGCCGTCGCGACCCTAGCACAATGCTGGGCGCATGGCAGGACCACACGCACCAAGCACAGCTAGTGCTAGGCACTGGCGCATGCGTGGTGCGTGGTGCTTGGCCGAGTCATGTGCATGCATAGTGCATGGTGCATGGCCGAGGCTGATGCATGTGGCCGGGCGAGTGCATGCGAGGGAGAGCTAGCAAGCTAGCAGCACGCATGTTAGGCATTACGTGCGAGAGGGGCTGGATGCATGGCGCGCATGGTGTGCGAGACTAATGCGTCTGGCTGGCGAGGCAAGAGGCCAGCATGCGTGGCTCGCTAGCAGCACACATGTTGGCCATGCTAGCAATGGTGCAAGAGAGATATGCGAGGCATAGCACCAGCGCCAGCACGCACCAGCGCATGGCACTGGCACGCACCAGCGCCAGCACGTAGCACCAGCACAGCCCAGCAGCAGCATGCACTGGCTGGCTGGCTGGGTGCTGGGCAGCAAGGCGATGCTAGATGGCAGCCCTAGCTGGCACGCTAGCTTGCAGCCAGCTAGCCCTCCTTGACCCGGTTTTGGGCATTGAGTGTGGAGACCAAATCATGGCCTTGGGGATCAAGGAAATGGTCCCCCCCAAGCCTTGGTCCTCACTTGGCTTTCTCTATTATTGTGCCATGTGTCGATTTGTGATTGAATTGATTAATCATTTAATTTTGGAATTAAATAATTATCATTTTACCAACTCTCCCACATTGATGGGAGATTGGAAATCAAGGGATCATTTCCCTGTAAATACCAAGCTTGGGTATTGGGAAATGAACAACCTTGAGTGGAATTAAAAAGGCAACTCTAAGAAAGAGTAAACCTTTGATTCGTAAAACTCATAGTTATTTTGTCCGGGTCTTGACTAACCTTCAAGACTTAGGACGCTCGGGTCGGGTCGAGGGTACGATCCGTCGGAGATCTCGTCTTTTCGGGATTTTGAAGTAAGAGCTCTTTGGGAGCGAAGCACGCGTCAAAGGTATAATTCTTGTTCTTAATCTTGTTTGATTAAGTTTATTATGGTTGCTAATTGCTTTAATTAAGGGGCGGGTCTTGGTGGGTTTCCTTCCGCGTAGTGTCGGGTCACTACGAAACCCTACACTGACTTCTTGATGATGTCCGTGATTTCCCCTTTGAAACTAGTCATGAGGTTCATGAGCTCGTCTCTGGTGACGGGGGCAGACCCCTCCGCCGCCTGGGGTTGTCCAGGATGCTTGCCGCCTGGGTTGTTGGGGCAAGCTTTGTCTTGACCCCGTTCCTTCCTTTCTTTGGAACGAGTACGCCTAGAATGGAAAGACCCGTCTGGGGCCATATAGGTTTCGACATTGTAGTCGTCCCCACTTCGTTTTCGTGGTCCGTATGGACCTCAGGGTCAGCCGTGGGTCGGCTGCCCTCTACGATTGGTACATTTTTAGATGTCATCTCAGTACTCTCCCCACAGACGGCGCCAAATGTTTCGGGGTTTTTTGAGATGTCCTACGGGAGAGTTACAACACTAGGAATGTACGCCTGAAGTTTGCACCTGCAAAACCACGAAACTCCGGTTGGGTGGAGTTCCGCCTCCGAAGGTCAAGTTAGTATGATTCCGAATGTGAATACGTGCGGAAAGTAAACTGGTTCTCTCGGATTCCGGGAGATTCCGCAATTAATATTGCTCGGGTTTTGTGTGTATTTATGAATCCCAATAAATGAGGTAGATTCCTCTATTTATAGCAGATGGGGATCTCCTCCCCCATTGGGGGTACAATGCCACGTGGCATCCATTGGTTGGATGCCCATGGTGCTATAGGGAGGTGACATGTGGCAGGCCCTTATTGGGCCACGTGTTTAAGGTAATTTTTACCCTAAACAACTTCAATGGGAACCACTGCTTCAGCTCCATACGCTAGGGAGAAAGGACTTTTACCCGTTGCTTCTTTCTCTGTTGTCCTGTTAGCCCACAACACCTCTAGGACTAAGTCAGCCCACAAGCCTTTGTGCTCCTCCAACTTCTTTTGAAGGGCATAGAGTATCTGCTTGTTAGATGCCTCTGCCTGCCCGTTACTTTGCGAGTGACAAACAGAAGTGCTGGCATATTTTATTCCCATTTCCTCAAGGTAATCTCTGATGGTGTCACAATCAAACTGGCAGCCATGGTCAAACACTATGCATTGCAGGATCCCAAATCTGGTAATGAGAGTTTTCCATATGAACGTTCTGACTTGAGAGGCCTGGATATACTTTGTGGGTTCTACGTCTATCCACTTTGTGAAGTAATCCACAACCACGATCAAGAACTTCCTGCCCCCTGAGCTAGTTGTGAATGGCCCTAAGATGTCTATTCCCCACTAAGCAAACGAGATAGGGTTGAGAATCGGTGTGAGGTCGTTAGCAGGCTGATTTATCACTGGGGAGTACTTTTGGCATTGCTCACATTTTTTGACATAGTTCATAGCATCCTAGGTCAAGGTTGGCCAATATGGTCCTCGTTTGATGAACTCCCCTGCCACGGCTTTCCCTCCTATATGATTTGCGCAGATCCCTTCATGGGCTTCCTTCATGACTACTTTCTGCTCCCAATCAGAGACACATCTGAGGATAGGTTTTGAGTACCCTTTTCTGCACAGCTCTCCATACAATACCACGTATCTGTATGATTCCTTCTTTACTATCTTTGCCTGCTCATCATCATCAGGCAGTGTTTCGTGCAACTTGTATGCCAATATATCTGAGTACCAGGACCTTCGCTGACTAGTGCAATTTACCTGCCTCTACCCCTCAACACTCTTTTCCTCTAAGACTTCTACCATCACAAATCTACTCAAACTCTACAACGTCATACTTGCTAGCTTGGAGAGTGCGTGTGCCTGAGCATTCTCAGCGCTGGGGACCGAACTCGATATCAAAGCTAACCATTTGAGCTGTCAACTCCTTCACTAAAGTTGGCTTGCTACTAGCTGCGAGTCAGTCTAGAGTTTCACTTTCCTGGCCTGTTGTTAGACTTATCCAATGTAGCCTCGTACTCAGCTTCATTGTTGGAGGCTTGGAATTTGAACTTAATTGCATATTCAAAGACATTGTCTTCTGGTGATACCATAATTACTCCAGCTCCGCTGCCTGTGTGGGTAGCTGAGTCGTCCACAACCACCCTCCATGTTCCCATCTCTTCTTCTACTTCTTCGTAGCTTGCTTCCACTATGAAATCTGCTAGGGCCTGAGCTTTTATCACCATTCCGGGCTTAATTTCCAGCTCGTACTCAGTCAGCTTTATTGTCCACTTCAGTAACCCTCCTGAGGCGTCCATTCTTTGCAAAGCTTTTTCCAGCGGGTAGTTTGTTAATATTTGTATCACGTGAGCATCAAAGTATGGTTTCAATTTCCTAGTAGTTGTGACAACTGCCAAGGCCATTTTCTCTACCAACGAGTTTCTCTGCTGCTCTGCTTGGGTTAGAACATGGATGACAAAGTAAATTGGGTGCTGAGTTTTTCCTCTCTCTACCAACAGGGCTGACCCTATTGTTTACTGCGACGCAGATACATACAGCTGCAGCTTCTCTCTTATCCCTGGACTTGTCATCGTTGGCAGGTTGACTAAGTGCTCCTTTACCCTAGCAAATGCCTCCTTTTCTGCTTGCTCCCTTTTGAATGTACGATTTCCCTTCAAGAGATAAAAGAATGGAAGGGCTTTATCTGCTGACTTGCTGATGAATCTAGTGAGGGCTGCCATTCTGCCTGTCAACCTCATAATATCTTTGATACTCTTGGAATCTGAGAGACATAGGACAGCTTGTATTTTCTCTAGGTTCGCATCAATGCCCCTTTCACTCACCAGGAAACCTAAAAACTTGCCTACCTTCACCACAAAGACACACTTCTTTGGGTTAAATTTTATATGATACTTGTACAGCGTGTTAAATGTCTCCTCTAGGTTAGAGATGTGGCTGTGCGTTGTTAGGCTATTCACTACGGAATCATCGACGTAGACTTCAACATTTCTTCCTCTCTGGTGAGCAAAGACTTTGTCCATGGTTTTCTGAAATGTTGCTCCTGCATTTTTCAAGCCAAAAGGCATTGCGACATAATTGAATACTCCCCCGTCAGTGATGAATGTTGTCTTCTTTCTGTCAGGCTCATACATGCTAATCTGGTGGTAACCCGAGAAGGCATCCATGAAACTCAGAAGTGCGTACCCACTCGTCGAGTCTACCATCTGATCTATTCTAGGCAGAGGATAACAATCTTTCGGGCAGGCTCGATTCAAGTTTGTGAACTCTACATACATCCTCCATTGTCCATTGGCTTTTCTAACCATTACCATGTTTTCCAGCCATTCAGGGTAATCACAAGGTTCTATAAATTTTGCAGCCAAGAGCTTATCCAATTCCTCCTGGATAGCCTTATTCTTTTCTGCGAAAAATTTCTCAGCTTCTGCCCTCGAATCTTCTCTAACATTCAGGCAATGTTCCATAGTTTTTGGGTCAATGCTTGGAATTTCGTCTGCTGAAAATGCAAACACATCTGCGTTCTTCTGGAGCAACGCTATCAAATTCACTCTAACATTAGGCTCGATGTCTTTCCCAGTCTTCATTGTCCTAGTTTCATATCCTTCAACCAATGCAACTACCTCGTGCTCCCCTTCTGCAGTTGGACGGGCTACGTCTTCCTTCTCAAGCTCAAAGTTTTCCATGGCTAGCTTTTGCTTTTCTTTTTCTTCCTTATACTCCTACCTTTTCCTCCTTTTGGAGAATTTTTCTTCCCTTGCTGCCTCTTCTTGGGCCTTAGGCAGAGAACCATACTTTATTGGGTTTCGCAAGGCCGTAATGTAGCACTGCCTTGCCGTTTTCTAGCAACCTCTCAACTTGGCTAAATTACCTTTGTTGTTAGCGTATGTTATTGCTAAGTGCAACGTGGACACCACTCCACTTATCTTGTGAATGAGGGGCCTGCCCATTATCACGTTGTAAGGGGATAGAGAGTTAATAACGAGAAACTCTGCCCTCGCGTTCCTAGCCTGAGCTCCCTCTCCCACTTGGACAGACAATTCTATTCCTTCTGGTATCATTCTTGAGTCGTCGAACCCTGTAACTTCATAGTTCACCCTTTTGAGGTCTCTGTTGTCTAAATGCATTTTGTGGAAAGCTTCTATGAACATGATGTTGGCTGAACTTCCCCCATCCACCAGGACTCTCCTAACCTTCCAGTTCGCAATTGTTCTAGAGACTACTGGGGATCATCATGTGGGTATATGACTCCGTGTTGATCTTGCTCGTCAAACATTTCCCTCGGCTGCGGAGGCGGTGGTGGCTATTTCCTGCGCTCATTATAGTTTACTTGATGGACCATGTCCCTGAGGTCAGCTCTGGCTCTACTGACTGTTCCTCCATCCACAGGTCTACCACTGATCATCAGAACATCCCCTAGTTCTCTCTTTTCCTTGTCTTTCTCTTCATGTTTACCTATGTCATTCCTACAATCCTTCCACCGATCGTTTCTAGGTCTGTCACTGCCTCGGCTCCTATCCTGCCCAGAATACTATTTGAACTAGTTCAAGTACCCCCTTCTGATGAGAAGGAATGATGAGGAGTCTGACGACACTGTGGAAGAGTTGGAAAAGCTTAATGCAAGTGTTAAAAAAAGAAGGAAACATGGGCGAGGAAAGCCAAACAAGAAAAAAGGTAATGTTTTCACTTTGTTTGCAAATATTAATTTCGAAGAAAATGGTTTTACTTCTCATGTAAAACTTTAATATTGTAATTTCTATTTTAGGGGGAAAGGATGTCGTCGAGCTAGAGCATGATCATGCTGATGATGTTGACGATGTTAATAATGTTGATGATGGTGATGATGTTGATGATGGTGATGATGTTGATGAGACGGTTGTACCAGATGATAAATACGATGAGCATCATGTACAACCTCAAGTTCAGCCCCAAACTGAGATTTATTCTATGGTTCAACCAAATGTGGAGGTTCAACCTGGGTTTGTTGTGTAACCAGAGGTGCAATATGAGGTTGTTGTCCAACCAGAACAAGTTGTTCAACCAGAACCTCAGGTTGTTTAACCAGAACCTTAGGTTCTTCAACCAGAACCTCAGGTTCTTCAACCAGAGGAGCAACCTCAGGTTGTTCAACCAGAACCTCAAGTTCTTCAACCAGAGGAACAACCTCAGGCTATTCAACCAGAACGCCAGGTTCTTCAACCAGAGGAGCACAGGTTGTTTAACCAGAACCTCAAGTTGTTCAACTAGAGCAACCGCAGGTTGTCCAGCCAGAGGTGCAGTTGTCCAACTGGAGGTGCAACCTCATGTTGATGAACTAGAGGTGCACGCAAAACTTGAGCTGCAACCTAAGCTCTCTGAGTATGAGGGCAAATCCGTGCAGGTTATTTTTTATTGCCTTTCCTAAACCACAAAATAAAATGGTGATTGAAATAAAACTTTAAATATATTAGTTTTCAAATCTATTTTCTTTTTGTACTTGCTTTAAGAATTCATATTCACTATAACTACCACTTGCATAGTTTATATTGGGATTATGATGCATTTGTTTTCCTGATTAATGACTTGCATTATTTTGGTTAATGTTTGTGGAGATGATCAAAATTTGTATGGCTATCTAATAATTGAGAATTTTATTGTAAGAAAACCTATTTAAGCTTATTTGTTCATATAGAGCTCTTTCTCAATTTTTACAGTAAGCAAAGCTAAATATGGCAAATTTTTGCACTATGTTTTCGAATGTTGTTTTGTATGATAAAATACTTACAATAGGCATTATGTGACTACTAATCAAATATGATCCTTGGACCATCAGGTTGCTAATGAAGTTGTTGTCGAGGACATGGATCCAAATGCTAATGTAGATGATGGCGTAGCTGTTGATGGACTTGTGACTCGGATGACTTACACGTTAACTGACCCGGAAGTGGAGTTCAAGGACATGTTTCCTAGTGGTACAAAGTATATGTTGAGGAAAGCTGTTGGAGGCTTCCTAGTGGATGCCAAAAATTTCCTTAATCCGGATGATTTTTGGAAATTTGTTGCTTATCAAAAGCAGAATGAGGAAAATAATACCCCACAAGTATCATTTAGAGCTTTTGCATAGTCTTTATTGGATGGTAAGCATATTAATGTTGGGGGAAGTAGTTCGGGAACTGTGAATGATGTCGGGCATGTGGATCGTGCTCCTAGTCCCGAATTAGAGGTTGAACATATTAGCTACTCATCTGAAGAGGAGCTAGCAACCCCACACGATGTGCTAAGTCGTACCCAAGTTCTAATGTTGAAAAGAAAAGAGGAGAGAAGTAGGTTACGGAGGAAGGTAATCGGTGAAGCAAACCTCCTAGATTCATATGTTCGAACTTGGCGGCCAAAGGTTATCCAGGAAGTTCCTTGAACCTCTTATGCAGTTCATGGTTGATAATGCGAAACCGACGTCGCGTGGAGGATTGCGCCAATTGGAGTGAGTTGTATTGAAATTGTGTAATCTATTACTGGTTGTGAAGATGTCAATTTGACTAGTTGTCAATTTTTGCAGTACTGAAGCAACGCATCTTCAATGCGATGGAGAACTGGTGAAACTGAGTATGTGTTCACTTATTCCAAAGGGTAATGGTGAGTTATGTGATCAGGTTAGATATTTAATTACAAAATGGCATGTGTAGTAAATATCTTATCATTATGTGGATTTAATTACAAAATGGCATGTGTAGTAAATATCTTATCATTATGTAGATTCTATTTGTGTTTACAAGTATGTCTGAGTATACACCAAAATATATGAAAAAGTGTGGGCGCACAGTTTGAGGGTCGCAGTAGGAGATTCATGCTTGACCCCGGCTTCGGAGTAAGTGTGTTTTTTGTTATTCTCTCTTGAACAATTTACTGAGTCGTATTGTAAGAACAGTTGTGCTTACATATATGTTGTATTTTTGCGTCCAGATTCCACTCCTTAATGCAAAGGATGATAAGGCCACTGAAAGAGTTGCAATGTGGGGCATGCATCCAAGTAGAGTGAATGCGATAAACCTTTGTGTTATGAGTAATTTTGCCTAATCTTAATTTCATTTTATAATGTGGCCTTAGGTATTTTTCCTTATCTTAATTTCATTTTACAATGTGGCATTAGGTATTTGTGTCAGTCGTACAAAAAGGGCATTGGTGGTGTGCTGCTTTCTCGAGGAATCATGAGGAGATACTAGTACTTGATTCCTTGGTAACAACCAAAGCAGTGGATTACCATAAGTCGGAGGTTTTAAAAATGGTATTTCACTTTTGGCCTCCAGTATCAGTAGTTAATTGTGTTCAAAACTAATTGATTTCGTCTTTGTTATATGGGTAGGTTGAAGTGGTGGATCAAGTATTCCACACATTGGACGAAGGATGGCCAACTAAGACAATTACAAAGTGGCCTATGACATCTCTATCGATGACACCACAAAGTGATGGGTATGTTTCCTCTTTTGGTTGGTATTTGATGTAATACTTATTGTTGTGATAATTTCCTTTAATTCTGGATGACCTCCATATGTGCTTGTGTTCTTTCATTGTGGGTGACCTCCATATGTGGTTGTGTTAATGCAGCCATAGTTGTGGAATCCACATGCTCCATGCTATCAAGTGTAATGCGGAGAGGTTCCAAGCCACTTTGCCTATAGTTAGTAAACATGCATAAATAAACCTGATAAGAGGTGAATAGCTAGGTCGTTGGACTAACTACCCTCTACCAAACAATATTTATATACCTAAATCTACACTAGACAAGTCTAATGGTAAGTAAAGGGTTGATCCGTAGAGACGGCTAAATTATCATCACACTACCACCAACTAAGCTAGGTCAAGAAGATATGGGGAGTAGATTAAAATAAAGAGGAAAACTAACTAACTAAGGAAAGAGAAACTAAGAGGTAAAATCACTAGGGAAGGGGAATCAAGGCAATCAATGTGACAAGCACAAGCATAGAAATGAACATGGACATTCTCAATAACTTGCAAGGGGCAAATCTTAATCATCTAGGTCTCTCCCGAGCACGCTACACAATCAAGCACCCAATCCCGGTCGAGGCTCGTGATCAACTCAAGGGGTTCACTTCTACCTAAATAGCTCTTTCCCAAGCAACTAAATAGGATAGCAATTAGATCATGCATTCAACCGGCGAAAGCGAAAGCAAGCATTAAACACACCTCAATGAGCACAACCAAATCACCAAGAAATATACATACAAACCAATATACAAGCACTAATCAAACGCAAGCAAACAATCATCATTAATCTAATTGGTCAAGTCGATAATATGAAGAATTGCCTAACAACCTAGGTCACTCCCGCACACACTAGGCCATTAAACTCTCAACCCCGCCTAAAAGGTCGTGGTCAACTAAACAATGAAATACTTCTATCAAGCTAGCTCACTCCCGCACAACTAACACAATAGCAATCAAATCATGACATCAATTGGCTAGAAAGACACCAAGCATTAAGACCTTCATTTTTAGTTCAATATATCAACAATTCCAATTAGCTCATCTTCATCTTGCTCATTAATCCCCAATTAAACCCTAACCCTAGCTAAGAAAATTACTCTAACATAACTAAACTAGCAAAATCAAAGACATTAACACAAACTAAACTAACAAGAACAACAAACATTAACCAACAAAGAGGAACAAGAGAGAGACTAAGAATAAAACCCAACAAGAATAGAACAAATTATCAAAACTACTATACTAATCAAGCAATAACTAAACAAAGCAAGAATTAAAGAAAGCAATAAATGAGATAGAGTTTAGGATGCTCATTAGATTTATAAAGAGTAATCCAAAACAATGTCACTTTGCATCTTCATCTTCTTCAATCCTCCATTAAAGCTTCCAACTTTCTCTCTCTAAACTACCCTAAGTCTACTCTAAACTACATTATAATGGATTAAAGCAAGGATTAAAACTAAATCTATAACTAATCTAAGCTAATCTAAGAGTTGAAGATGATGGAGAAGCTAGGGTTCTTCACCCCAAAGAGGAGAGAGGAAGAAGACCCCCAAAAAATCCCCAAATCAGCCTTCAAAGAGGGAAGGCTGGGCTAACAGCGTGCGCGCCCGTGCAAAAGGACTGCGCGCCCGTGCAGGAAGCTTTGAACTGGCAGCAACCTTCAACTTCAAATGGCCATAACTTTCGTTCTAGGAGGCTTCTGGGGGCGTGCAACCTACCGTTGGAAAGCTCTCCAAGTCTAGTTTCCGAAGCAGCTTGAATCACCTCACTCCGATAAGTAGATCAAAAGTTATGACCAAAAGAGTGAACAACAGTCAGGCTGTGCCCTCTGTGCATGAGAGGGCTCTACAGGGCGCGCAAGGCATCTACAGAAAATTGGCTTGCTTGGTGTTTTCTTGCTTGCTCTTGCTCCTCTCATTCATGGGTGCTTTTTTTCCCTCTCCAAGCCTAGCTCCCTTGCTTGGCTTCTCTCGACCCTTAGCTCATGTTTTAGCTCTTCGAGTGGGCTCCAATTCTCGAGGTCTTGTTTTATCTCGGGATCATCTCCAAACACCTACAAAACACGAGAAAAAGCCAATAAAAAGGAAAAAAGAGACAAACGGGGAAAGAACAACAAGAGGAAGCAAAAACACAAGAAAATGGATAAAAGAGGCATAAACAAGGGACAAATGCGGGAAAATACCATGATTAAGGGATCTAAATAGTGGCATAAATGTCGCTTATCAAAACCTTTTACATTCTGTATGATATTTGGCTTCTAGTTTCAAATGGAGCTAATTATTGGTAATTCATAGGTTGATGACATTCGAATGGAGAGGTCATGGTTGTTGTGTGAAGATGTCACGAGTGATTTTAATGAAGCCAGGGAGAATATGCGAAAACTGATAGACCCATATGTATTGTAGGCTAGTCTTTCAACTACAGAACAGTTAAGCCATTTTTTGAAAAATATATGTAATTGTTCGATTCGGCTATATATGTAATATTTGGGTTCGGCTACACATTATAATGTGTTGGTGAATTTAGTATCATATGTAATATTTGGGTTGGCTTTATTGGTGATTTTACAGGACAAAGTTTATCAATAGGTTGATTACCAAATCTTCGATAACTTTTGGATTCGGCTGTTTAACATGACAATGTAACCTTCTAAAGTGATAATATATCTTATAAGTTTTTTAGGAAAAAGTATACACATCTCAATGGCTTATAAATCATAATATACCTTATTGAAATGACAAATGACAAAACAGTATTAATATGACAATATAACTTAGCAAAATGATATCATAACTTATTAAAATGATAATATAACTAATAAGTATTTAATAGATCAAGTATATAAGTTATGAATAAAGATTGAATAAAAGATTCCTAAACCCTAAACCCTTAACCCTAAACCCTCTAAACCCTACAAGCTGTAAAGATAAAGGATCGAAGGTACAAAAATTAAAGAACAATAAAACATATGGTAACGACAATGTGGCATGATCAAATAATAGGAAACATATTGTAATGATAACTATTTATATCTATTTTTAATCGACTCTTAAGGTGATAGTAATATAATATTAATATTTATAAGTTAATAAAAATATATTAATTTAATATTAATAGTTGTAAAGGTACTCGTTGTATATACTATTGTATTAATATTAAAAGGTTCTCATTTTGCTCACTTTAGATGTTACAATGATTAACTCATAGTAATCTAAAAAAGATATTACAATGAAACAACTAAAACTAGAAGTAACAAACTAAATGGACCATGCATTAAGTAAATGTGATGCATTATCCCTTTGATTTTTAATAAAGAACAAAAGGTTTATTTTGTATATTGTTCTAATTCACTTTTATGAATTAAAATAAAGGTTTATCCATCTCGTTGTATTTGTTTTTTTTTTATTATTATTATTTTTTTTACAGGAAACGGTGGATAATTAAGCAAAAGTTGATGAATCAGATAATACAAAGCAGAGTGTTTCTTGAGGGACTTCCTCAGTCCACACCCTTAATTCCCCAAAAAGTCTACTAAGGCAAGCAAGGCAATGAGCCACCTTGTTACCTTTCCTGCTAATGTGGGAAAATTTAATAAACTTACAATATTTTGATAAATCCAGAATATCACTAACTATAAGACGAAAAGTGCTTGCTTCCTTAGTCCCCTTATCAAGATACTTGAAGAGCTTCAAGTTGTCTGTCTCGAGCTCGATCCGCAAAAGGCCAGCCTCCACAGCAATGCTGATTGCGTGCCTAGCTGCCAATGCTTCAGCAACACCCACATTGTCATTCCCTTGCATCAATACACAAGTAGCAGCCATAGGGTCTCCCACGCTATCCCTCATAACACCACCCAGCCCAATGCTTCTATCATCAAAGACCGCAGCATCTGAATTCACCTTGTAATTGCCCAAAAGAGGGGACTGCCATGATTGAGCAGTTGAGCACTCACAGTAGGGGGGAGAAAGAAACAACAGCTGCCTTGTTTGCTTTCTCATACTCCCCAACCACACCAACAACCTTTCTAATAACCTCACTATCCTTAAGTCTCTTCTTATCAAAAACCCAAGCATTTCTTTTCAGCCACAAGCCCCATAATAAAGACCAAAACAAGCTCCACCAAAGCTTATCAGAGTGAATTTTCCTAAAGAAATGCACCACTCTTTACAGGAAAACATATTACAAGTGCTCATATCAAGTCTAAGTGGGGAAACATACCAGAGCAATTGAGCATTTTTGCATTTAAAAAGTGCATGAAGACGGGTCTCAGACTCGATACCACACGTAGGACACATATTGTAACACCCTAAAATTCGAGTCTTTTTAAAACAATAAGAGTAACCTTTTAAACTTTCAAACCCAACCATCGAATCTTGGGAGTGTTAATGCTACACTTATTTTCCGTAGAAAATAAATGCAAAGCAAAATGAAATACAATTTAATAAACTGAGTGGTCTAAGGGGTGGCAAAATAAAATAGTCATTACATCAAAACTGCAAATTATTTTACAAACATTAATTAAAAGGAAAATAAATAAGTTCGGAATTAAACTAAATTGTCTTAGCTACGTGATTATTCTAATGTCTCCTCACACGTCATCGAGTACCCTCTTACCAAACTTGATCGTGTGTAAATCTCAAGGTAAGTAACTTCCAAAACATTCACCTAGTAGCCTTCGTCTACAAATAACAGATAAACGGGGTTTAAGTTAGTAATATCGTACACTACTCGCTATTAAGTTAGCAATCTGTAAAACCCATATAATCAAAATATAATAGTTACATACTAAAGTTTGGTTTTATAAAAACAATGATCCTTAAACCAAGATCATGAGTTTTATACGAGTAAAACAATTTAAGGCTACTCCACCAAAAACTATTCAATCATTACTTACAGACAAAACCTATACCATCAAATTTTTTTTTTTTTTTTTTGTTTTCTTTTTATCGAAAACCACTATAAATGTAAGTGCAAAATAACGCAATAATTGTATACAATAAGGAAGCAAAATCCATTTTGTCATTGTAAAATATCTAGCAACGGTGGAAAATTTTGAGGAACAAGCTAAGAGCGAATTCGGTTGATTATGAAGGTACAACAATCTCGTCCAATTGTATCAACAAGTTAAATCAACTGACACTGCTCTAATTCTTTATCAAGAAAGTACTTTAAGCCCACCATTGACTATCAATTGCTCACCAAAATAGAGATGAGTTTATAAAATTAAGATGATGGTGAAAACAATGGTTTGGGGTGGTTTCCTTGTAAGTTCAGGAAAGTACGGTATCATCGAGAGGTATATATAAATTAGAATTTTTAGGTTCAATTATTCTAGGAGATTATTCAAAAGATCAGATAAGACTCAATTCAAATTGAGTCTGTTACAAGTTCCTATCGAAAAGATCAGCTTAATTTTTTTTTCTATTTTTTTTCAGTTTTCAAAATCAGTTTCTGTAAATTATCCAAAATCAGTTTTTTTAATTTTTTAAATAAATCCGAAAATAGAAAATAATAATTATAAATTCATTACTATAACATATAATTTGAAAATAATTATAATTTAAAATTTTATACTAGAAAAAAATTGTTGATTAAATATACTCAAAATTTAGGGTATTATATCTACTCCCCCTAAAACGAAAGTTCGTCCTCGAACTTTAAAGTTAGTTAGCTCTTAGAACAAGGCTCACACGATGACAAAAGATAAGTTAGTATTTTATTCTACCTCCCTTTAAGAGTTTCGACCTCAAAACTCAGCGTACCTGCTCAAAAAGTTCTGGGTAGCGCTTTTTCATATCATGTTCAGCTTCTCATGTTGCTTCTTCAGAATTCTGATTAGACCATAGCACTTTAACTAACTTTGCCGCCTTTTTTTGAGTATTTCTCGTTTTGGTATCAAGAATCTTAACAGGGCATTCTTCGAAAATTAAGGCCTCATCTAGCTCAATAGTCTCGGGTTGGATAACATGGGTAGGGTCATGAACATACTTTCGTAGTTGAGAAGCATGAAAAACATTGTGAACATTGGCTAACTCCATGGGTAAGGCTAGTTGGTATGCCACCTCTCCAACTCTCTTTAATACTTCATACGGCCTAGGACTTAATTTCCCTTTCCTACCAAACCGCATGACTCCCTTGGTAGGTGAAACCTTAAGTAAAGCCTTTTCCCCGACTTCAAATTCCACTATTCTCCTATTCTGGTCTACATATGACTTTTGTCGATCCTGAGCTGCCTTCATGTTTGCCTGGATAAGCCTAACTTGCTTCGTTGTTTCTTCAATCATTTCTGGCCCCAAAGTCAAAGACTCACTGATATCTCTCCAACATAAGGGACTTCTACATTTTCTCCCATAAAATGCTTCATAAGGTGCCATTCCTATGTTCGCATGATGGCTATTATTATATGAAAATTTGATCATAGGTAATCTTTCGTACCACGATCCACCAAAGTCCATCACACAAGCTCTCAACATGTCCTCCAGGGTCTGAATTGTTCTCTCTATTTGTCGATCTGTAGCAGGGTGAAATGTTGTGCTAAACTTCAAGATAGAGCCAAATGCTTGCTGAAACATTTCCCCGAACTTTGATAAAAATCTGGAATCTCTGTCTGAAATGATATCTTTAGCAACTCCATGTAGTCTCACAACTTTTTTCACTTAGGCATCTGCTAAAAAATTCACATTCCAAGTGTCCTTTATTGCTATGAATCTTTCCGTCTTCGTTAAACGATCAACTATGACCCAAATAGCATTCTTTGCTGCCCTTGTAAGCGATAATCCCATCACAAAATCCATAGAGATAGACTCCCACTTCCATCTTGGCACATCTAACGATTGCAGCTTCCCTCCAGGTCTCATATGTTGTATCTTCACTTTCTGACATGTAAGGCACTTTTCCACAAACTCAGCTACTTCACGCTTCATGTTCGGCCACCAAAAATGTTTCTTAAGATCTTTATAGAGCTTATCTCCTCCCGGGTGTACAGAGTACAGGGTGTTGTGAGCTTCTTCTAAAATCTTCCATTTCAGATCTTCATTTTTAGGAATACACCATCTCCTTTTATTTCACTGTTCCACTATCATCGACATCAAACTCAGTTGTTGATCCTCCTTCTTCTATCTTTCTCACCTTGGTCAACCACTCATCAAACATTTGCTTATCACGAATCTCATCATATATGGTAGGTTTGACTAACATCGCATTCAACTGAGCGTTCACTTGGCCATACTCCATTACTTCCAAGTTTAACTTCCTAAATTCTTCACAAAGTTCCTTGGCTAAAACCATTAAGTTCACTATATGACTTGTCTTCCTACTCAAAGCACCAGCTACCTTGTTAGCCTTTCCTTCATGATATAGAATATCTGGGTTGTAATCGATTAGCACCTCAAGCTATCTCCTTTGTCTCATGTTCAAATGACTCTGTGTGAATATGTATTTAAGACTCTTATGGTCCGTATACACCTTACATTTCACACCATACAAGTAGTGTCTCCAAATCCTTAGAGCAAATACCACAACTCCTAGCTCCAAATCATGAGTAGGGTAATTCTGTTCATGCTGCTTGAGCTGCCTTGATGCATAAGCTACAACCTTCCCGTGTTGCATAAGTACACACCCAAAGCCATTCTTAGATGCATCACTATAAACTTCAAACCCTTCAGTCCCTGATGGTAAGTTTAAGACTGGTGTTGAGGTGAGTCTTTGCTTCAATTCTTGGAAAGATTGCTCACACTTCTCATCCCATTGGAACTTAGTAGTTTTTTTTCATCAAATTTGTTAAGGGTTGAGCGAGCTATCCTCGAAAAGTCTTGCACGAATCTTCTATAGTATCCAGCAAGCCCTAAGAAACTCCTTACTTCAGTCATACTTGTTGGTCTTGGCCAATCAGAAACTGCTCAGATCTTAGATGGGTCTACCGTAACTCCTTCCTTTGAGATCACATGGCCTAGAAATGTTACCTTCTCCAGCCAAAATCCACATTTTGAAAATTTGGCATACAACTTCTTTTCTCTAAGAATCTCCAACACTTTTCTTAGATGTCCTTCGTGCTCTTATCTATCCCTCGAGTACACCAAAATATCATCTATGAACACCACCACAAACTTATCCAAATATGGCTGAAAAGTTCTATTCATGAGATCCATAAAAGCTGTCGGCGCATTAGAGAGTCCAAAAGGCATAACAGTGAACTCATAATGTCCGTATCTCCTGCGAAAGGCTGTCTTTAATATATCTTCCTCAGCAATCCTCAACTGATGGTATCCCGTCCTCAAGTCAATCTTTGAAAAGATCCGAGCACCTTTAAGCTGATTAAACAAGTCCTCAATCCTAGGCAATGGATAGTTGTTCTTTATAGTGACATTATTCAACTCTCGGTAGTCAATACACAACCTTAAGGTTCCGTCCTTCTTCCTCACAAACAAAACCGGTGCTCCCCACAGTGAGACACTTGGCCTTATATAACCCTTCTTCAACAACTCTTCCAACTGTACCTTCAACTCTTTCATCTCTGCTGGTGCCATTCTATATGGTGCCTTTTGGGTATCACACTTAATTCTAGCCTTGTACTTGCTAAGCCAATCCATTCCCAATATTACATCAAAGTCAGTTAAGTCAAAGTGAATAAGGTTTGCAAGAAACTCAGTTCCAGCAATGTTAACTAGAATGCCTTAGTATATGGATATACAAGGAACTACCTCCCCAGACGGAATTGTTATGTTGGTTAGATACAAAGATAAAGGTTTTAAAGCATGTTTATTCACAAAATAAGTGGCTACAAAAGAATGAGATGCCGTAGAATAAAAAAGTAAGTAAGCAGGTTTTGAGTTCACGAGAAAAGTACCCGTCACAACGTTAGCATTGGAATCAATCTCGCTCTAGTTCATGACAAAGATTCTTCCATTACTAGCCCTACCATTGCCATTGTGGTTGCTTCCTCCAGCATTGTTGTTGTTGTTTTGGCCATTATTGCCATTGTTGTTACCTTGCCCATTCTGAGCTTGATTATTGCCATCTGCTTCTTTGGACACTTAAATTTCTTATGACCAACCTCCCCACATTCAAAGCAAGTAAGAAAATCTCCATTGCAATTGCGTCCTGGATGACTCTTGTCACATTTACGACATGGTCGATTGCAAGATCCTTGCTGATTCTGTTGTCCCTGGCCCCGGTGGTTATTGCTTTGATTGTTGTTGTTACGACCTCCCTGCTGACCATTTCCACCATTCCCAGTGTTATTACCCCCGAGGCGTGGTCTCTTATCATATCCTTGATGGTTCGATGAGCTCTCACCATTCCCCTTCCTCTTGTGCCTATCCTTGACCTCCTGCTCACGCTTCAAAATCCTTTCAATACTACAAG